CTGTAAATCACAATCATGACTCTTTAACTTGATGACAGTATAGCATTGCGGTGAATGTTTTATCCAGATCAAGGCAGTGAGGATAATTTTGTTAACTTTTAATTTCATTAGATTTTTATTATTGAAGCAATGGCTTTGACATACTTCAAAATGCTGAATTTAACTGCAGATGGATGGGAGTGTAACAAAGAATACTGGATCCTTAAAATTTATGATGAAATACAAAAAGAACCCATAAAAAGGATTATAGTGCTTTGGCTTTCTTTTATTATGTAAGCTGATCCATTCAATAGTTCTTGTTTTTTGTGACCAAACTCTTTTTCAACGTATGTGCAGGGCAGTGAAGACTGCTGAGCTTACAATATTGCAACACAAAGGAAAAGAACTGAGCAAAAAGTATTGGATAGAAGTGTTTCACAGCAAGCAGTGTACATTGTGTTCCAGTAATATGGATTAATATAAGCTGTGCCATTATACGTCATAGTTAGTCATGACAGTACCAGCTAACTAAGTTCCAAGGGGTTCTAGGTCACAGTCTTATAGAATATGCACTAAACAGCGCCTGACTATTTTATAGTAAATAGAAAGAGAACTACTGGATTTCTAAATAATTAAATAAATAGTTAAATACTTTTTTCCATAGTTTGCTTTTTAAAGAATATCTTTTAGAATGGCTCTTACATATGTCATAGGCAAAGCTCCCAGGCAGTTCTGGAGGCCACCACTGCCAGCCACCATTGCTATTTCCACAGCAGAGCATCCAACAGCATGATGGATAGTAAAATGCCTGCCCCAGAAATGTCAATGCTCTCAGGATTTGCAATGGTGTATGTTTGCACTGGATTGAAGCATTGTGTGTGTCAGATAACAGCTATCACAACAGGTACCTTTTTAGTTTTTCTCTTTCATTAGCAATAAATATAAATTGAAAACAATTTATGAGTTGCTTCATTCACTGTCTTAATAGTCTCCATTCTGAGAGAACAAAAAAAAGAAAGCTATAAATAGTTTTATTGAGAACATTTTATTTCCACTTTTAATCTCTCTATAAATTCCAGTTATGAAAAATATGTATTGCATATTGTATGTATATAAATGTCGAGATAGAAAAAAAGATCATAACATATAAAAGTATAATTTGTTATGTTTAGTTTAATATTTGTTCCCATGAAGCCAAAACATTTCACATCTCTATATATAAGATAAGATTTTTAAACAGTATAAGAAACACTGGGCATTTCAAATACAGAAAAACAATAACTGTGATTACATTTGTGTGTTCTGGCATGTCAGTAGTAATTTTGTGTTTTGTTGATGAGACCTGTTTAAAGCTTCTCTATTTTTCCACTTTATTTAATCCGGATCAAAAACTGAGCGAAAATTCCTAATGCAAAATGACCAGACAGACGCTGAGTGTTTTTCTTCATTCTATTAATTAGTCCTCCCACATGAAAGAGGATTATGGAACACTGTCATATAGAAGCTAACTTTAAGGACATGACATTGCAGAGGGCGCTCTGTAGAATGAAATGCCTATAAAGAACATCATAGCAGAATCACAAAGTTTTAAGTTTTTATACGAGATATCACGAGTCACTTCAACATGACAAGAGAAAGCTTTATTGCGGTCATGCAGTTCTGCTTCAGTACTTGAAATATGTCTTTGATTATTTAAAAGGAACAGTAAGAGTGAGTGGATTAGCTTTGCTTTGCTTCATCTATCTCTTAAAATATTCCCACAGTACAAATGACCTGCTTCCATTTTCATTCCGTTCAGAGCTGAAAAATTATAAAGGAGAAAGCATCCTATCATCTTTTAAATAATATGACACAATTTATCGTGTCAATAAATCTTATGACTTATTTGAAGATGAATTTGTTTTAGGTTAGGGAGTACTGCAGCAGCCATTGGCCTACCAAAGTGTTAAGATCCACTAACAGCAAGTAAGTAGGAATCTGTAATTTTACTTTGGTGAGAGGTGGGGAGCACAACAAAACATTTCATATTCAAATACTATTGTTAAATAGAATTAAAGTGGAAGCCAACATCTGGTTGGTTGTTGTGAACATCACCAGTTTTAGCTGTGGTTTTCCAGTACTGTTCAGAAGAAATGTGCATGTGTAATCAAAACTTATTTTTTTAGTTTAAAGCAGGCAATGGTTAAAACTAGGGGTGCACTGATACCGATACTAGTATCGGTATGCGTGCAGAGTATTTGGGTGAGTACTCGTACTCGCCCATAATGCTCCGATGCCTAGCCTGATACTTGAGCTTACGGTATCGAGAAGCCAGGCAGCGCATCATTACACGCTGCCCGACTTCCTGATTCGCCGGATAGCTGTCTCCATGCTCACTCGACACAAGTGAACCGGCTTCCCAGCCAATCAGAAAGCTGGGCAGCGTGTCATTACATTCTTCTCAGCTTTCTGGTTGGCCAGAAAGCCGGCTTCATGCTGCCTCCTCACCAGGTCGAGCCAGTCAGGAAGCCAGGCGCCGTGGAATGACGTGTTGCCCGGCTTCCTGAGTGGCCAGCTTCTTGACCAATCAGGAAGCTGGGCAACACATCATTACATGGCGCCCAGCTTCCTAAATTGGCCAGAAAGCCGGCTCCATGCTTCCCTGCTGATCTGGAAGCTGGGTGGCAAGTCTTTACACACCGCCCAGCTTCCCGGCTAATTCCGGTATTCCGTAGCAGCGAGTACGAAAAAAAAAAATATTGGTACTCGGTACCGAAAAAATGGTACCGGTGCATCCCTAGTTAAAACCCCTGTCAGGTTTTTTTTTTTTTTTGCTGTTTGCATCTCATTTATTTCCTGTCCCATGGACACAAAAGAAAGTAAGAGGAAATTTGTCAAAAATAAAGGATATTCCCTCTTAGACAGTTGTCATTGGAGCAAGTGTTTCAATTGAAAGATTTACCCTCTGTTTCTGTTTTGGTGACAACCCAATATATTTTTTTCTTCTCACTTTCTGTCCGGGTGACAGCGGTCACCAGGACAAATATTATAACTATTATTTTACAGGGTTTATATAGCACCATTACAGTTTGTGCAACACTTTATAAAATACAGAGAGGCAGTGCAGTTAAAAACAATTCAATACAAGAGGTTTAGGTGGACCCTGCTTGTGAGAGCTTACAATCTGAAAGGCAAGGAAAAGTTAAAGGATAAGCTGATGGAGCAAGCAAAAGCTCAGTTTTTAGATGGAAACAGGATAGGCTTTCCTGAATAGAAAGAGCACTGATTGTGGTAGGAAGAAGTCCTGGAGGTTAGCATGGGAGGAGGTGATGAGAGAACTGGAGATCAGGAGGTCTTTGGAGGAGTGAAGAGGATGGTTTGGGTGATATTTTGAGATTTGGTTGGTGATGTAGCAGAGTTGTGGATGGCTTTGCATGTTGTTAGTGTTTTGAATTTTATTTGTTGGACTTTCGGAAATGGAGGCATTTTTAGAGAGGAGTAGCACTGAGTAGTTGGTAAGGTGGATGAGCCTGGCAACAACGTTCATTGTAGACTGAAAGGCAGATAGCCTGTGTAGGCCAACGAGGAGGGGGTTGCAATAGTTAAGGTGAGAGATAACAAGGAATTCAATTAGAAGCTTTGCGGTGTAATTTGTTAAAAATAGGGCGCATATTGGAAATGATAAGGAGGTAATGGTCAACTCCACTAGATTTTGTTTTTTTTGTTTTGTTAGAGTGTGGAAGGGTTACAATCTCCATCGGTTTTTAATAGCTTGCTACTACTACTCTATGGAATCTTTATGTTATAAGTTGGGATGCAATACGTAAAAGGATTTTTTACGTTTCCTATTTCCCGTCTTAGACAGTGTGCCATACTTTATAAGATAAAATCTTTGCTGCCATACTCATCATTATCACCATCATCAAAACTCAGCGCAAGCAGTGCCACTTGCAGTGTTTTTTAAATCCCTCTTTTGCTGTAAGGTCACTGGCCAAAATTTTCTGTTGGTAATTAATTTGCAGTACTGGCAGCTACTAATACTTTATACCCTAACTTTTTTGTGGTTTAAAGTTATAAGATCAATAATACAGCTCATTTTAATCATGGTCAGATTTAGGATCTGTTAGTTTGCAGTGGTTAGAGTAGAAATGATAGAGAAATGACAAGTGACTGGAACAGAGGTTTAATACAACTGAAAGAAACAAAGGGAGGCTGTTGCCCATAGCAGTCCTCTCAGATTGCGAATATGATGTAAGGGTATAAGGGTGTTTGAGTAACTGCCTACTGAGCGTCTGTCTGAATAATACCTCAGACCTAGATAAATGAGTATTATATATATATATTCTTATTAATGGATTCGCTAAACTGGGTCTGTGCAGATCGTCTGCTTAAATTCATGTAGCCAAAGGGTGCAAGAAGCTGCTGGTACTCAAGCAGCAGTCAAGAGGTTCTTGAGTTACAACCAGGTCACATAGTGTCAACCTTGTCTGCACTCAGTATTTGAGGTATCCAAATAGGTATAGACAGAAGATGGCAATCACACATCTGAAAAACAGTATTTTTATCAGTTCATATGTGCATAGATATGCAGCTTTATATTTAGCAAGAATATATGTGTTTGCACTAAGCAGATCCCTTCAGCCTGGATTACCTTTTATTATTGGGGAAGCAATCAATTGCAAACAATTGAAGCACTGTGTGTTCATGTGATACTATTAGCTACTAAATGTTACTTGTGTAGTTTATACAAGAGGAAGCCATTTGCTCCATCTCTTTAGTGATTGATTACTACCCTTAGCGATTAATAGTGATTCTAGAAGTGTCTTTAAGCCCAAGCATTCCTGTACTTAGCTAAACTAAAAACCTTCACAAAATAATAAATGGTAGTTTAGTAAGAGAATTGAAATACTAGTTCATGATTTGTAAATAATACTGAATCTGCTTATTTTTATCATTTAATCATTTATAATGCATATGCCTAATTCAAAATTACTTTGTTGTTACCGTATAATCTTATTGTACTGTCTCTTTGCTTCTACAGGATGTTGTCACATTGGTACACAATATTGGTTCTACTACCAGTCTGCTTGAAATCCCAGAAACTTCCCACTAGAGATGAAGAATTGTTCCAAATGCAGATTAGAGAAAAATCACTTTTCCACGATACATCCATAGTACCTGATGGAGCAGAGATTGGTGGCTACCTGTTCAGAGACAATCCTAAAAGGTACTTTATATGTGATACTGATAATGTGTGAAGAGAAATAAAAGATCAGGAAATCTTTTTTGTCTGCAGATTTACATGTTGTTTTCTATTACACAGCAGCTTAATGCAGGGTCCCAGTATTTTTCTAAAGGCTTGTACACAATCACTCAATTTTAATGAGTATGCCTTAGATATGTAAGCTGCGGAACAATTCAGTTCGGATATTTTGTTATTTCAGGATTCGGATCTGAAATTCTATTCGGTTTAGGTTTCGGATTCGGCTGAAATCCAAATTTTGTTAGTTTCGGATGAGTTTGCGAATATTCGTTGCGAATACCACAGAAAACTAGGGATGCACCGATATATCGGCCGCCGAAACATATCGGCCGAAAATTGCACTTTTGGCATAATGCCGAAAATGCAATTTTCCTGCCGATACATCGGCGCATCTGTGCTTTCTTTCCTCCCCGCTGGGCGCTGCTCTGTGCCCCAGCGGGGAGGAGAGAAACTGTGATAGCCGGCCGAGCGCTGCAGGAGGAGAGCGCTGTGAGCGGCCGGCGTCTCCTCCCACACCGCTCAGCCTCCTATCACAGTCCGGCAGAGCGGTGTGGGGGCTGAGACAGGCAGCGCTATAACAGTAGGCTGAGCTTTCCTTGATCAGCCTCCTGTGACAGCGTGTTAGAGAGGACAGCGAGGTACAAACACTCAGTTCAGATTAGTGATCGCTGAGTGTTTGTACATAATTGAGGATATGGTATGTTGACTATATCCTCAATTGTGAATGAATAATACCTCAGAGAAAAATGTGAAAACATTAAAATAAAAAAACATTTTCGGTATCGTTTTCCGCCTGACAATTTTTTTATTTTGGTTTCGTTTCGGTTTTAAAATTTCCATTTCGGTGCACCTCTACAGAAAACCATATACAGATATTAATACTAAAGCTGAATCTCCTAGACCTGAATGGCATTCGGGATTCGAATTTCTGAATGCCATTCGGGTCCGGGAGCCTCAGCTTTAGTATTATATGTATATGGCTCCCAGAGAAATTCGGATCCCGAATGCAATTCGGGTTTGGGAACCATATACATATATTACTAAAGCTGAGGCTGCCAGACTCGAATGGCATTTGGCAGCTCCCAGATGCAATTCGGAAATTCAGATCCCGAATGCCATTCGGGTTTAGGAGACTCAGCTTTAGTATTATATGTATATACTGTATATGGCTCTCATGTTGCCATAACGCAAATTTGTGTCCAGACCCACTCGGATGCATTAAACCGAAAACACATCTGATTGGCCAGAAAAGTCACATGTCCGATTCAGTTTCATTTTTAAACGAAATTCGGACGGATTCGGAAATTTAGATTCGGACACATTCAGATGCATTGGGATTCAGAAATTAGGATGTGTCCGAATGTCTGAATTTCGGAAAATTCGTCTGAATTTTGATTCGGAGTGGAACGAATCGCACATGTCTAGTATTCCTGCGTAAGCACCCCAACTGATGGGTGTAACGGTGTCTATTGAGCTATTAGCTCAGTGACCATTGTCTTGTTCATCAAGCTTTGTATCACTTCCCACCAAATACTGCATGCAACAACCATGCTGTCCCACCCCATTGACTTTTACTCACATTGATCCCTCTATGAGGAAGGCATTCTGAAGATAGAATAGTTTAAGGACAGACACTAGATGCATCCAGTTCATGTGTAAACTTAGCCCAATCAATGCATTGGACTTAACTTTCTCACGTTAAGGTCAGTGTGGTTAACTGGGACCGGCTTATTTGTTTTTCTAGATGCTGTGGTCTTGGCCTTCCAATAAACTTAGACTGTAATTTTAATGGGAATGGGAGTTTATTATGGTTTAACTACAGGAACTTTATTTTGTGAGTTCCACATTGTAAATATAGTGAATCAGACTAATTAATGTTAATTCTGGGCTGTAAATGACTGAGTATGCAAACCTTTGTACGAGTACAACACAAATGTTACTGTTTCTATTCCAGGTACTTTTTTGTAGTAGAGGAAGATAATACACCTCTGTCTGTTATTGTTACACCCTGTGATGCACCTCTGGAATGGAAACTGACTTTACAGGAACTTCCTGAGGAAGCCAGTGGGGAAGGATCAGGTAATAATAGAGTCCGATATATTGAACCATGTTCCATATTTTCTGTTATGCATTCAAATGTTATGCCTATTGTTTATGACCACTACTATCCAGTAAGACTAAACTAAAGTACTCGTTGTTCTTTAATATATCATACCGGGTAGTAGAGTATATGGGAAATAGGCAGAGCCGAAACAATAGACAAATACGTTGAGGAAACTTCAGGAGCTCGACCATAAGTCATTATTAGTATACTTTAATAACTATTTTTGGACTGCTGCAACTTTGTTTAGGCAGACTGTGAGATGTCATTATTATGCGGCATCTTCACCACTTCCTGTTATTTAATGAGGGGCAGGATGGTGGTATCTGCTAAAGAAAAATTAATTTTCTCTTGGTGCTTCCTGGATGTACATCAGTAAGAATCCCTATGCCTCAAAGTGCTTCTAATTAGGCATTGTTCGTCCACACTAGTCTCTAGTTGCTGACAAACTAATAAAACATTTCTTGAAGATTGGGATTCTGATGCTTCAGACTAACTTGGTATGATCCATTGGACAATTAAATGGTGCTTAAAGTGACATTAATGTCAAAAATATTTTTCCCTAATAATTTAATTTCCATAATTTAAGCACTTACCTTAAATTGCCTTAAATTATGTTTCTTAATCCGATCTTCTTTCCTGTCCTATTCATCTGTCCCTCCAGCGCTGCGGCGGGTCTCCAATCCAGCGCTGACTCCTTTGAGCTTGCTGGCACTTCCTGTCCCATGGTGTCTGCATGCGGGTGCACGCGTCCATAGACTTACCTTGTGTCTCTCCTTGCGTCCCGGCCGAAAATGTGAACTGCGCATGCGCCCGCTCCAAGATGCTTTACGGCCGCCCGGGAATTTTCACATTTTCAGACGCGAGCGCACGGGGTAGACACAGGTAAGTATTAACTCTTTTCAAAGTGTTTTTTTGTTGTTTTTTTTACACGTTTTCCGTATATCTACTGCTTGCTAGCGGTAGATATATGCAAAAAAAAGCAGAGGGTTTAATAACCCTTTAAATATGCAGTAGATTTACTCAGTACTCATGGCAATGGCAAATGTATTTGCAGAATAAGACATGGGAGCTCATTTGTGTGTTTTAATACTATATCATAAAGTCTGCAAGTTTCATAGACTCCTGTTTGAATTGCAGTTCCACCTTCTTGTGTAGATTGCAATTTGAACCTTCTACTGGATTAGAAAAGCTCAAAATAATCAATTCCACTGCAGGTGATGCTAAACCATAAAGAAGCTGTCTAACATTCACAAAAAAAAACCCTGTATTTGCCATCAGTACATACGATTGTAGGTATCCCTCTGGAGCAAAAAGCAATGCAGTTATGAGAAAACTAGTTGCTGTTAAAAGTGGTAAAAAAAGATGAAAGTGAACTTGTCAGGACAGAAACATGGATGCTACTATTGCTGTCTAATCAATCTTGTCCATACACATTACAATCTGATTGTACAATCTCTTCTAAAGATGCCGACACTATATAATATGATAGACTTCCTAAGCATTCCATTTCATTTCTATCCAGTCAGGCACGCTCCTCCACTCTATATTGGTTGGTAGATCCTAAAAGATTGTACAATGCTATTACATAATGTTCATGATCAGCATTATACTTCACTACTTACCATAGTTCTGCTCTAAATGGTTAATTTTAACGTAGATCATTTTATTTATTTGGGTTTTTATTGAGTAAATAGCTCACTAGTCATTAAAGATGGGAGCTGAGAACTTTTTCTTACACTTTAAACAGCAGAGAAGTGTTTAGTACAAATGAGTGTAGTTTTTTTAATAATTCACAACATGTAAGGTAGCGTATTATAGTAGGTCTGACCAAATAACGTGCATAGTTTAGGGCTTACTTCATATAAAGTGCCGCATTACAGTTTATAAAAACATGATATAATAGAGTTGACAAACTCTCACTCAAATACACATTTGATTTGCTATCAGAAAATAGTCTTATATAGTTTCAAGAAAATTACTCATGCTTTCTCTTATTATATTCACGTTGGAGATGATTTTTCACTGACTTTTAACCTCTGGTTAAGTGCATTCAAGTAAACATTTATTTGCTGAAAAAGAAAAAGAAGGCTTGTATACACAGGATGCTATCCACGGGACAAGAGGACAAAAGTGCTCCAGGCCACTCCATGTTTTAACAGATGAGGGTCAGCATTGAGAGAAGGGAATGTGTTTTCTTTTTGTCGCAGTTAGTGAAATCAGCTGTGCGTTGTGTTGTTGTAAATATCACCCCTATGGCTGTGGGGTGACTTGACTGGTCCCACTGGTGTGTTGTAGAAACATCCATCAGGTTTTTATTGAGGAGTTTAGGAATTGGGTACTATCTTGCAGAGGAAATTACTTCCTTTTAGACCATACAATGCAGTGTTTGCACACATTCCCATCGCTGTATGTGATAGCAATGTACTTTGGCCTAATGACTAGCTACAAGTCTCAAATATTGGTGTCAGCTTAAAGTAGTACTTAAAGTTACACTGAACTAAGGAGATAAATCTTACAAATGCATTCAAATACCTTACCTATTAACAAAAATGTATCTTATTTGTGTTTCACTCGGCTGTAGATTCCCAAATCATCTCTTAATTGTTGCTGACACTGTCCTTCCTTCTGGAGGGTGGCTACTTTTGTTCCCTATGGTCCCTGTGTGCGTTGTAAGTAGTCACCACTCCAAACTCTCTCCCATAATAGACTATAACTTGAATACAAATTAGCTAACTAAGGCAGTTATTCACAAAGCTGTCAAAGGCAGCCAAGTGAATAACCCAGCCGAAGTGAAGTGAGCCGAACGCTCTGAAGTGAGCCAAACGCCAAAGCTCCAGCAGCTCACTTGCTGTCGTCGGCCCCTATTCTCATAGGGGCCGAACGGCAGTAAGTGAATAGCTGAATGCCGCCGAGCTCGGCTATTCTGCTCCCTACCTCCAAGGTACCGAGCAGAATAGAAAAAGAGTGAAATTAACTATAAAAAAAAGTTGAAAAATTATTTAAAAGATGTAAGAAAATAGGTAAATAAAAAAAAAATCAAATAGTTTAAAGAATAGAAAAAAAAAGAAAATTTAAAATAATTTAAAAACCGCCGGAAAAGATGCTGGCAAAAGAAAAACAATTGGGCTGAGCTAGCAGTGACAGCTAGCTCCATCGAACTGTTTCCTATTGGCCGCCACCTGCCAGAGTCTTCTAGCAGGTCCCGGCCAATGACAGTGCTGTTACGGCCGGCTCCGCCCAGTTCTTATTGTTTAACGACAGATCAGCGACCCTAGGTCATTTGCGTGGAGATGCGTCGGCTTCGGCTGATCTTTCTCTACACTTCGGCTGTGGGTTCGGCTCAGTCGAGCCGAAGCATATGGCTTTGGCTTGGCTGAGATGCTTGGCTGCCTTCGGCTGCTGTATGAACTATTGTGAATATTCCGTACAGCAGCCCTTCGGTTGACTGAACCGAAGGGCAAAGGCGGGCGAAGACAGCCACAGGATCAGCTGAAGCCACGCCTCTATCCTTCGGTTCAATAGTGAATAACCTCCTAAATGTAAGATTGTACTCCATCATGGGAGTGAGCTTGGAGCGATGGCTACTTTACAACACACACAGGGACCATGGGGAACAAAAGTAGTCACCCTCCAGAAGGAAGGACAGTGTTAGCACCAATTGAGAGATGATTTGAGGATCTACAGCTGAGTGATGCACAAATAAGATACATTTTTGTTAATAGTTAAGGTACTTGAATGCATTTTTAAGATCTAACTCCTGAGTGTAATGGCACTCTAATAAGCTATGTAACTGAAAATTCACTATAATATATCTTCAGTTGCTGAACTATTTTACCTAAAGTTCACAGATATGTGAATTGTTAAATCTCCAACAATAAGAAGTATAGTTAAGGTACTTGAATGCATTTTTAAGATTTAACTCCTGAGTATAGTGTCATTTTAAGCATCATATTAAAAGCATGCCCTATATTTTAAAGCTTGTAATTTAGTCAACTATTACATTCATATTAACTTATCCCATTTGTAAAGTTTGTAAATACCTTTAACAGCTTTAGGCAGCTTACTTTTCCAGATGCATCACTCCCCCTAGCTTCTGGTCGGAGAGCGCACACACCCTCCATCCTCTGTGGCCGCTGGGACTACATGTCCCATGCTCCTTCGCATGCGCCTTGGTATTGCGCATGGTCTCTCCTCAAACATATCAATGCAATGGATGACCAGCAGGAAAGTAAGCAAAATGATCTCAGTGATTAGCAGGTGGGCCTGGAGGAAGGCGGAACAAATTCCCTCCTCATCTCTGTACGTGTTGACCCACAAAGCGGCTGCATGGAGTCGTGTAGTGCTTAGGTAGGGAGGGTGCACACTGCAGTGGCTCCACAGAGACCCTGCTTGCATACCTCCCAAGATGAGAAAGAGGGACACCTTCCATCACAATAATTGTAGGCATTGGACACACACTTGCCACACCCACAGTTCTGGTTATGGAGACCATTACAAATTGATGTGATTAAAATGTTTGGTTAAACTCGGATTTGACTATTTTCAGCATTATTTTTCCTTTATAAATAATTATTAGAAATAGCAAATAAGATAATTAAGTTTTAGTGCAGTATAACACTTTTGGTTGTTAAATAGTACATTTTCATAGATATCTACATCTATATTATATTTATGACATTCATCTAACTATAACAGAGGTAACAGTGGAGAGGATCAAGCCATATATGAGTGTTTTTGGGGAAGGCATCCCCCTACATCTGTGATGCTGGTATACCTTTTAAAGTCCAGTGCTGTGCACTTTAAGGTCTTATCACCCAAAAATGATCTCTTGATATAAGACATTTCAAATACACTTCTGTGTATCAGACAATGCAGACATGGAGCTCAGTCTAGTGTTTAAATAGTTCCCGTTTTCATCCAAAAAAAATGTACAGTACCAGTCCAACCAACTCCCTTTTGTCTGTATTCTGGTGATCCTGGAATACACCAACTTGTGATGCTTCTCACTCTCACAGAGAATTGATGATGAAAAAAAAATTGTCAGTGCTAAAACTTTTCTTACAACCAACAAGCCTGTCTTGAAAATTTTAATGTAATTGGCAATGCAGAAAGCAGAGAGAAAAATACACAGCAAAGACTTCAGGAATTACACAGCTACTGCCCTCTTACTGATCCTGTTTGTGTGTGTACTTTCTGATTTTACAGTTATTTTCACAGTTGCTGTGTTTACTAGATAGCTTACTAAATTGGTGCAGCTGTATTGTGTCGGGCAACGTTTACTGCAGCGGCTGGTGTGAATTGGCCCTAAAGGAGTGGCTTCCAAACACAGATATCAAGTTAATTAACCATGCATACCACTACATCCTTTCTCCTTTATTATGATCAAATCATAAGTTTGTACAGCATGACCCTCCTGTGCAGTTTTTTTTATAGTGCAGACTGACCTGCACAGTAAAAATTCCATTATATCAAAACAACAGCATATGGCTTTTACAGGATTTTTTTTTTGAGATTTGCAAATTATATATAATAAAGTTGCACATTTTTAGATTTAACTTACAAAGCAACATGTTTTTGTTTGTCAAGTTAATGTGAAGACAGCTGTACAATACAAGCTAGAATTGACAGACTATCTGTAAATTATTTTTTGATGTAGTATCTGAAGTGGTATCTGAAAATGTAGAATACATGCTTGTTCTTCAGTAATGCTTTTGCCATTGCCTCACTTTTAATGACACCCATGTATCTCCATTAGTACATTTGTGCAGTATATTTTGTATTTGCATAGCGTGCTTTCTTGTTTTTGTTTCCACTGCTGATTCCCACATCCAAGCAGATGTTCAGCTGAAATTGTCTGATAATTAAGTAAGGTCAGGTATTCAAAATGCAGACTTGCATTTCTGCTGTAATAACACACACTGATCTATTTTTTTATGTCTGATTTTGCAGGTGAGCCTGAACCTTTGGAGCAGCAAAAACAGCAGATTATGAATGAAGAGGGCACTGAACTGTTTTCATATAAAGGGAATGACGTGGAATATTTTGTGTCTACAAGCTCTCCTTCTGGGTTGTATCAGCTGGAATTAATTTCAACAGAAAAGGACACACATTTTAAAGTTTATGCAACTACAACTCCCGAGTCTGACCAGCCTTATCCAGAGTTACCATATGACCCAAGAGTTGATGTGACATCTCTTGGACGCACTACAGTCACACTAGCATGGAAACCAACTCCTACATCCTCTGTTTTAAAACAACCGATCCAATATTGCGTTGTTATCAACAAGGAACACAATTTTAAAAGCATGTGTGCAGTCGAAGCCAAGATCAATGCAGATGATGCTTTTATGGTAGCTCCTAAGCCTGGTTTAGACTTCAGCCCTTTTGACTTTGCCCACTTTGGGTTTTCATCAGAAAACGATGCTGGTAAAGATCGCAATTTCATGTCTAAAACCGTATCCACAAAGATGATGCGTCAAATAACTGCCAAACCAAAGCCTGATCTTCAGAAGGTATGCATTGGGAACAAAAACATATTTACAGTTTCTGATCTGAAGCCTGACACCCAGTATTACTTTGATGTGTTTGCAGTAAATTCGGCCACAAATATGAGCACTGCGTATGTCGGAACATTTGCACGTACCAAAGAAGAAGCAAAGCAGAAAACAGTAGATTTGAAGGATGGAAAAGTTACTGATGTATTCATTAAAAGAAAAGGCACAAAGTTTTTAAGATTTGCCCCAGTCTCTTCCCATCAAAAAGTAACTTTTTCAGTTCACTCTTGCCTGGACACTATTCAGATCCAAGTCAGAAGAGATGGAAAACTACTTCTGTCACAGAGTGTAGAAGGTGTGCGCCAGTTTCAACTGAGAGGAAAACCAAAGGCTAAATACCTGATCAGGCTCAAGGGAAGCAAAAAAGGTGCCTCTATGCTCAAAATCCTGGCAACATCGAAATTTAACAAGCAGCCTTTCCCTTCACTGCCAGAAGACACAAGAATCAAAGCCTTTGACAAACTGCGCACATGCACTTCTGTTACAATAGCATGGCTGGGAACACAGGAGAGAAATAAATATTGCGTGTACAAAAAAGAAGTGGATGATGACTACAATGAAGACCAGAAGAAACGAGAACAAAACCAATGTTTGGGTCCTGACACCAGAAAGAAAACAGAGAAAGTTATCTGCAAATATTTCCACAGTCAAAACCTGCATAAAGCAGTCACCACAGAGACAATCAAAGGACTCGAAGCTGGGAAGTCCTATGTCCTGGATGTCTATGTCATGGGTCACGGAGGCCATTCAGTCAGATATCAAAGCAAACTCGTAAAAACAAGAAAGTTCTGTTAGAGTCCTTGTGAACTTGTATGACAAACATATCCTACAAGGAGCATACTGACTAACTACTTGTGCAGCCAAGCGATTGTGACTTGTACACAGTACCTGTAGCAGTGTAGAAAGGTATCAACTTGTATACTTCTGTTTACATATCAACGTGGTTGCTTCTAAGTGGTAATCCTGCTGCTTCTCCAGAACTGAAAGACATATATAACTGTTATAGGTCTGAGACCTGGTATCAGACAAACACGGTAGATGAAGTAACAGTGGTAATGGATGCGAAAGTACAAAGGACAACTTTGGTAGCATCACACAGTGCATGAACTGCCTCTAAATTATTTTACTAAATACATGGCCAAGGCAAGTCCCCTGGTTCTATTCATGCTCGCACAATACAATCTAGAGATGGTAGACTATCTGTAAATTATTTTATAAAGTCTTGTCTGAAATGTTTATGTTGTATGTAAACTACAAAACCATTCCTTACTTAATGCAGATCAGATACTAAGTATTAACTGGACTATCTTTCTCCTTCTTTGCCTATTGTACATTCCTACTAGACTGGTTTATTTTTTAAATATGTATTGTATGTATAAATTTGTCAAGCATATATTCCTGTACATAAAAAAAATTAAAAGTATAAGATTATATATTTCTTTTGCTTACTCGTTGTCTAAATACTATATCAGAAAGAGTGACTGTTGTCTGTAAACAAGTTGTTAACTTGTTTTTAGTGTTCTATGACAGTTTGTGTGCAAAATATATAAAGATATATATAAATACAGTATAAATTTAAAGGAGATTCCTGTAGCAAGAAAGAGTAGTAAAGGAAGGAACAAACAAAGCATATAAGCCAGCAGACGCTCTTATTGTGAATGAGTTTCAAAAGGGCCACCCAGTATTGTGAATGGGCAGCATTAAAGGAAAGATGAAACAGTCAGTATCTGACAGTACTTTGTAGTTTAATCCGCAATCAAAACTAAAAGTTGCAGCTTTTTCAAGGTGGTGTTAGGATGACAAGATGTTATTAATGGAAGTCATTGTACTACTTTGTAAAGGCAGCGCTAAGACAGACTTTTTTTGTCAGTGTTAACATTTTATCACTCAACAAAAATCGTTTTACCAGATGTTGTATAAATACAAGACATGATGCACAATGTTGTGGATACCACATAGTCACAGTTCAAAATATAATGCAGGTGTATGATACCTACGGGCTAAACTCAGGGATTTTAATCTCACGCTACTCAACAATTTAACCTCTTGTTGGCTGTCATGTCATTTGCAACTCATTGGGGTTGAGTTACTAAAAGAATAGAGACTGTTAACTAAGCAAATTGGAGGTTCACTGAACTTAGAAAGTAAGGTGAGGCTGTGTTCATTATGAATATGTGAAAATTAAAAAAAAAATTATTTGGGGAATTAATTAAAACTGGAGCAGTTGGCCTTAGTAACCAATCAGTTTTTCTCAGTTTGTTTAGTTAAGCTTTGAAAAAGAAAGGGAGAAGCTGATTGGTCGCAATGCTCAACTGTTCCAGATTTTGTCTGCTCCGATGTTAATAAATTCCGCTCTATGCATTTTGGCTTACACGTGAATGGACAATTGAAGTGAATTTCTCCAAAATTTCTAACCTCATTGAACATTCACTTTGCAGATAAAAAATGACTTTGCTAAATAAACAGCCACCACTTCTTTAGTCCATCAACCATGTTAAAATCAATGATGCCTATTTACACAAATTCTCAATAGTCATTTTGATTATTTTTTTCATTTTTCTTTCATTTGGCAAGCTGATCTGTTTATAAAACCTTGAGGAACTTTTCTTGATATTTTAGCCATTGTTTCCTTTATTTTGTTGAAATTATTCACATTGAAAAAGCTTACAAATTTGAGAACAAAAAATAGGATCAATATGGAGATTTATCAGATTTTCAAAAGCCTGTTTTTTTAGTTAACCCATCAGTAGATGGCCGCTTTCTATATATATAGGGAAAATGCTGGGCAAATTTACAGGGAATACTAGCAAGGCAAGTCAAGATGCTGCAAACTCAATTCAGTTCACACCATATTATATAAATAGCCCCAGTGGAAATGTGGTGATCTCACAGCTGGGTGTAACTAAAAAATCCCATGCAGTTCAGCCCTCAAGACAATAGAATACAGGGATTTTGTTTTTATTATTTTTTGGAAACATGTAAGAAAATAATACTGTGAAAATCCTACCATTTATTCACCAACAAGAGATTAGCTCAAATAAGTATTATTGACATCTTTATACATACATAATAGCTATGGCTTTAAATGTGTTTTAATTACTTGTGTAAAGGGTAATATTATGCAGTAGCATACAGCAACCAGGTTTACCTAGAGTTAGTGCTTTAGTAGCCAATGGTTGCTCTAGTTATAACACAACTCTTGCTCTTACATTATTTTATGTTTACTGTGTAATAGACCCTTAAAAGTATATCCATGACAGAAAGATACAGAGTGCTGTCAACATGGCCAGCATGATGACATGGACACGGAGAGATGTTCCTTGCCTTAGAAGCTTGTGAAGGTCCTAAATCACATGCTTGTCAGTTTTGCCATCAGATGTGTATTTTCGATTCATGAAGTGATCTTTTTGAGTATTGTTTGTACAGTTGTCATTTTGTTTTAAATAAGTTCATATTTTAAATGTTGTCTTTTTTCTTTTTGTACTTTCTATTTGTGTACAAATGTGTGATTACCAGGCTGTTTGGCCATTTATATTTTGAATATGTAAAATAAATAATACCATTATTTATGCTGTTTTCATTTTCTTCACATTAAGGGGCTGTATATAAGGTGTGTCATACAAAACGTGTGTACATGATAAAGGACACTGGTAGTCAATAAATCAAAATACCTCTATTAGTTGGTCTCCCAGCCTGGGGTTCTATATATTATTTTAAATAAATCTTGGGAACAGATTTACACCTTAACACTGTGTTGTGGTGTTTTAAAGAGACCCTGTCACCAGGCCACTCATTTAGTAACAATCTTCCCAAAAGTGTGTATTTGACATATTTTAGGCATGTTATTCACCTGTAAAAGCCTCCTTTGTATAAGCATCCAAAAGCCCTGGGACTGATGCAGGGTGCCACTATCTTGAATATGAAGCCGTCAGCCTCATTAAACTCAGGCGGAGCTTGACAATCACAGACAGTCCAAGAGGAGGAGGGAGCTATGACGTGAAAGCAGGGAGGGGCTGTGCTAGGGAACTGAATGTACCTGAAGTAGTCTAAATTGATAGAAAGTTCAGAGACACATTGCAAGTATATAAGGAAAAATAAGAAAAAAAGAAAAAACTGCAAGTAAGCATTTAAAATACTTGATCTGTTTGTGCTCTTACCTGCAATTTCTATGTTGGCAACAGGGTCTCTTTAACAAACAAACAAACATTGTGTTAAGTAACATTAAACTCTCTCATTTTGTTTTCAATAATGAATCCAAATGAAATATACATTGCCCAGCAAAGTATTTGTTTACACTTTAGCCCAAGTACTTCCAGTCATCATGTTTTTGAACCGCTGGCTCTAACTCTCTCAGCTCAGCTTCCCTGAACTTCCTGTCCAGTACAAGATCACAAGGGACAGAGCAGACTCTAGCAGTTGCCCATCTACTAACTTGGAGAATGGAGGAGGGAGGAAGCTGGAGTAGGGAGCAGGAAATTTGGCTTGCTTTGCCATGTCTGTGTGTTTGAGGTGACACACAAAGCTTACTAGCACACACAACAGTGGCTCCATAGAACCCTGCAGGGGAAAGCAGCAACCCTAAAACAGGATATCAGGGCCAGTGTTCAGGGGCCAGCTCATTCCGTAGGGAACTAAAACTTTTGAACGTCAAGGAGCAGCATCCATTGTAAATATTTTTTTTTTTTTAAGCATTCGACAATACAATAAATCCTATGGAGTTATGACTTTGACAATTGCTGCCCGCTTATTCTTCTAGAAGTTTTTTAGAAGATTCCCCATTGGAGAGATCCACCTCAAATATTGTCCTGGTGTCCGTTGTCTTCAGTACAAAACCCAATATGTTGAGTTGCCACAGGGCAGGAGGTGAGGGAAATCTTTCAGTGCTCTGGTGACAACTGTTTCAGAGAGACTATCACCCCGCTTTGGAGAAATATCTTCTCACTTTCTGCCTGCTGTGTCTTTGGGATAGGAAGTAAAGATGGGACATGGACAGCAAACATATATAAAAATAAAGGTTTTAAACATTACCTAACCTATAAAAAACTAAAAAAACGTTTTAGCTTTACATAGCCCTAAAAAGAAAACTATGGGGTAAGTGATTTTCCCCATAGTTCTCTTTCGGGTCACGGAAGGACACTAACCTCGTCTAGTGACTCAAAGCTCAGTATATAGCGAGCTGTTTCCCGCGATATATTGAGATCGCCACAGCCGGGACGGATCCCGACAATACTGTCGAGATCCACCCAGCTGCATGAGTGACAGCTGGCTCTGTCTATCTAGAGGCAGAGCCAGCTGTGCCTGCCCCCTCCCCATTTGTTCCTCCACTCATCACTGGAGGATCGGAGAGGGGAGGGGGGAACCGCTGCTGTGAGCGGTGACGGATAGTCACCGCTCACTGCAGGGAGGCCATCAGAAAGTGAGCGGATCGGTGCATGTTTCTGCTCACTTCCCAATTGATAGAGCCGACCTGTGACAGCTTCTTTGTCACAGTTTGGCTCTAACTGCTAACTAGTGATGCACAGTGGTTGTGTCTTGCTGATATCCTGATAGGGTTTGTATGATTTAAAACAATAGCACATTTGAGGTCTGTAATAACATGAATTGCCCACAAGGTTCCTGGTAGCTTTATTATCTTTGTCTAGGCTTTTTTTTACTCTAGACAACAATGTGATTTGGTAATGCAGATGTGTACACAAACGTCCTCTTTATACAGAAGATATTGAATCCGAGAAGACCATTGAGTTATTGTAGCTACTGTAGCAATTACAACCAAGACAAAGAAGTTTATTACTTAGAATGAGCACATTTGGGAAAACATGAGCCAATCCAGTCGCTTGGCCATGTTTCTGGGGACCTAATATTCATCAGATTTAGACAGTAGTGCAGTGACACTTGTTTTTGTATGACAGGTCATCTTTAGAGGTGGTTTCACCTAGTTCACAGGGCAATTTTGTGTAGATCTACACCAGCGGTTGACAACAGGGGACATCACCTAACACCACCAAATAGCCAAATATAATGTTCAGTGATTGTAATGTTACAGAAGACTGTCTGTGGCTATACTACAGGAGATGGTTAGACACTGTGGATATGCTACTGGTGTAGTTAAGAAATGCTGCAAGACACAGAGACTGAGAATATGTTACAAGAGACTGCTAAAGATCATGGAAACCTAATCATATGAACATTTTTTTTCATGTTCATGAAAAAAAAAGTATTTGAGGTAATTGAAGTGAACAGCTTCACTAGTCTAAAGTAGGCTGTAGACTTTAGATTAGAAAGTTGAAGACTCAAGTCCTATGTGGCAGCGCTCTCTTCTTCTGTTTAGTATGGACCGGGGTGTCCAACTAGTGTAAATTCAGAACAAAAACAGAGTTTGAAGCGCTGCAGCCAGTTGGATTGGGAGGTGGGGGGGAGGGGGGGTGTTTAAGTCAGGGCGGCTTGGGGCACACAGGATGTGTGTGTGTCTCCTCCGTAAGGTGTGTAATGGGAATCGGAGAGGTGGGGGAGAGAAAAATAGCAAATGAGTCACAGGTGATAATACCATGTAGAGAAAGTGTAGAAACTATAACTCCCCCAGGTCAGCGGTGCGACACAGAGTACAGAGGCCAGCGATGTGAGGCAGAGCACAGAGATCAGTAACAACACAGAGTGCAGAGGTCAGTGGTGTAATGCCGAGAACAGAGGCCAGCGGTGTGATGCAGAGTGCAGGAGTCAGCGGTGTGACACACAGTACAGGAGTCAGCAGCACAGGGGTCAGTAATGTAAAGCAGAGTGCAGAAGTCAGTGATGTAACACAGAAATAATAGTGCACAGTTGATCTGATTCAGGTGCTCTCTTCCTCTCCTGCTGCTTGCGGTGTGTGTGTGTGTGTGTGTGGGGGGGGTGTGACGCAGTGTTCAGAAGTCAGCAGGACAGAGGTCAGTAATGTAATGCCGCATAGTGCAGAGATCAGCGGTGTAATGCACAGTACAGAGGTGAGCAGTGTGATGCACAGTACAGAGGTCAGCGGTGTAATGCATAGTAGGGAGATCAGCGGTATCACATGAGGTAGCCTGATGGGCTTCACCTCAGGCCCTGTTGAGCCTCCCTTTAGTTCCCGCGC